CTTGGTAATTATGATTATTTTGCATTATATGTTAAGTCGTAAATGGAGCAAAGACTTTTTCTGTTAAACAATTACTAGTCCCATAAGTGGAATGGATTTAAAAAAAGACCCTTCCAACAATTATAAATGTCATTCAAACAAATTTGTCATAAATCTTTGTGTAATCATTAAGTAATGTGATTTATTTTATTACTAATATATATATGTATATATGTATATATATATATATATATATATATATATATATATATATATATATATATATATATGTGTGTGTGTGTGTGTGTGTGTGTGTGTGTGTGTGTGTGTGTGTGTGTATAGATAGATATAGATATAGATATATATATATATAGATATAGATATAGATATAGATATAGATATATAGATAGATATTTAAATGGTAAAACATTCTACCGTGCTGATACTATGTATGAAAAATAACAGTGCACAAACTAGATTTACTGAAAATGAGGCAACAGTTAAGAAATTCTCCCGGATTTCCTCTCCAGGCCTGAGAGGAAAGGTAGAGCAGGGGGTATGAAAGCATAAACCAGCATAAAAGCTGGGCACCACGGCGGGTAAGGGCTAAGCTCAGACGAGTCAGCACCAGCTGACACACGTTAGCGAGTCGGCATTAGTCGACACAGGCAGGGCTCTCCTCATGGGTATAGCCCGGGCGAAGTTCAGCTTCGCATAAGATAAGGATAAGTCCGATATGCGAAGCTGAGCCACGCCCGGGCTATAAGGGGAGCCCGGCCTGTGCCGACTAATGTCGACTCGCTAACAGTGTGTCAGCTGGTACTGACTCGGATGAGCTTAGTCCTTACCCGCCGTGGTGCCCAGCCACAGCAGTAACCTCCAGGCGACAATTGCAACTTCTCGCGCCTGGGCGGGGCGCGAACCGCCGACCCCTCGGATGAGAGGCCGACACGTTACCACTGTACTAGCCCGGAGGCTAACAGCTTCGCATCTTGGACTTATCTTTAAAAGAGAGAAAGGAGAGGCAACGCGGTGAACACAGGACAGGTGAATGGAAGCAAGGGGTGGTTAGGTCAGGTCGAAGGATCAGGTCTATGCGAAGGTGGCCGGCATAAGGGAGTAGGCAGACGATGTGGTAAGCGAGGAGACTATCGGCAGGAGAAAAACGGCTCCCTTTCATCACCCTCCGGTTTGGCTGAGGTATGTCGACGACGTCTTTGCTCTCTGGCCTCATGACCTTGCCCTGTTCCCGGATTTCCTGACCGCCTGCTCCCTTATGCTGGCCACCCTTCGTATAGAGCGCCTGATCTTACAACCTGACCAAATTCCCTTCGCTTCCCTTCACCTATCCTGTGTCCATTCTGCCTCTGCCTCTCTTCTCTCTCTCTCTCTTAAACTCCCTTCTCTACCTTTCCTCTTCAGACCTAAAAATGGAATCCGGGACCTGTTGTCTCATTTTGGTAAATCTTATTTTTTTCTTTGTGGGTTTATGTGTTACATGTACTTATACCTGTTTGCAGAACCTTGTACCACTAACTATATATATATGTGTGTGTGTGTGATACAGTGCGTATATAGGTGTATGTGTGTATATATGTATATGTATATATATATATATTTAACAGCCATTTTATTCCACTGCAGGGCACAGGGTCTCTCTCAAGTCACTATTGAGAGGTTATTTGGCAGTGCCAACCTTGCCTGATTGAATTCCCTTCCTAATCAACCGTGTTTCGGCGCGCTAACACTTGTGCCACGGCGGTGACTTCCCCTATGACACCTATGTTTTGACTTCTCAAGGCGATATGTCATTTTCTCGCCATGAGATTTCCGAGTCCAGTGCTTTAACCACTGGACCATCGCGGCAATTATATAAATAAATATATATATATATATATATATATATATATATATATATATATATATATATATATATATATATATAACTATATACAAATATATATATATATGTATGTATGTATGTATATATATATATATGTATATATATATATATATATATATATATATATATATATATATATATATATATATATATATACATACATACATACATATATATATATATATTTATATACATAATATATATATATATATATATATATATATATATATATATATCCCATGACCGCAGGTGTCATCCAATGACGTTGGCGGTCACATACATATATATATATATATTTATATACATATATATATATATTTAATGACCGCCCTTGTGAGGTTTTCAACCTCCCCCCACCACCATACACATCACCTATCCCCCCCCCTTTCCTTGCCCCGATCCTTCTATCCCTCTCGTCCCCTTATTCGCACCCTTTTCCTGTCCCCTCGCTTTTTCTCTCCTCTCCCTCTACTTCCACGATAGTTTCTCCCTCTTCTACTCGTTTTCCTTGCTTGTTCAACCTTTTATCTCTATCCCTATGCTATCCTCCCTCCATCCTATCCCTATCCTGCCCTGTATCCTGCCGCATTTCCCCTCGTACCCCTCTTATTCGCACCCTCTTCTTGTTCCTTCGCTTTTTCACTTCCTTCTATTTCTACGCTAATTTCCCTCTATTCCATTCCTTTCTCCCGTTTGTCCTACCTCCTACCTTTAATCCTATCCTCTCCTGCTCCCATCCTATCCCTATCCTTCCCAGCATCCTGCCGAGATCCACAGGGCGAGCCGAGCACAGCCCACAGGACCACCTCCCTCTGCCAGCCTCTTTTTACGCTTTTTTATTTTTGTACTACGCTGGCCTTTATTTTTTCCTGTAGTTTACGTTTATTTCCACCCTTTTATACATTAAAAAAAACTTTGAGATTCTTTGTTATCCGTGCATATGTGACACAGATTCTGATGTGCGGATAACAGACTTATGCTGCGAATGCATCTTTTTTTTACGTTTTTTTCTTCTCTCTTGTATTTTAAGCTCCGTTATGCTTTTTTTTTAATGATTTCTTTTTACTTATTCATCCTTTTTATTTCACTTTTACGGCAAGAGAAAGTTACTTATTTTAAGATTTTTGTTAATGAATCGCAGCAGATTCTTTTACGCATTTTTTTACCATAATTGTAATTCTTTAATGATTTCTTTTAACGTTTTATTGTTTTTATTATTGGATTTATCTTTTGTATATTTTCTTTTATCATAATAATTCTTATTTATTGTTTTACTATATATATGTGCTAATGTAATGTAATGTAATGAGTTAATGTAACCCCTATGCTCATGTTGAATAAACGAAGTGGATACTCTGACTATTTTGACTGCCCTTTGGATTTACCTGTCTGGAATTCTACACCGTGGATGTCGAAACAAGGTTGTACTGCCCCTTTTACTTGCCCAGGTGTATTTATGCTGGACGTGTTATTTTAATATTTTATATATACTGTGACCCGTGTGTGCTCCTTTGACTTTGACTTTTTACTCTCTCTGAATTTTACTTACTTTTATCTTGTCCTTTTACTTGTTACCTTTATTCATGCTCATACCTTTTACTCGTCTTTTACTTGAGCTTCTTCTTTAGCTTTTACTTTTTCCCTCATTTTTTCACCTTTTACTTGTTTTATCTTAGATCAGCCCTGTGCAACCTGCGGCCCAAGGGCCGCATGCGGCCCTCAAAGGCTTTCATTGCGGCCCTTTCTCCTAAAAATAAATAAACTATAGTGCGGCCCTCAGAGAGAGAGAGAGAGAGAGAGAGAGAGAGAGAGAGAGAGAGAGAGAGAGAGAGAGAGAGAGAGAGAGAGAGAGAGAGAGAGAGAGAGAGTTACCAAGTAGAGCCCACCGAAAGTTTGACAAAATTTATATTCTCGTGTACCAGTATCACCATATTTTTTTCTATTTCGTTCACTAAGGTACAGATTTTAATTATATTAGAACAGAAAATAATATATTACTTGACATTTTTAATTATTAGATTGAGTGATCATTGGCTGTCTGTCTATGAGTCTGACACGTATGGTTCACACGTATGAGTCTGACACGTATGGTGAGTATAATCTCACATATGTCTTCGACCGTAGTAAATAACATGAAATAGTAAGGTTATGTGGCCCTCCATACCAACAGAGTCGTGACTAGTGGCCCTTTGGGAAAAAAGGTTGCACACCCCTGTCTTAGATGTTAGTTCTTTTTATTGTGTTTAAGCCCTTCTGGCATGCTTTCAGTTTTTCTTAAGCCCTTCTGGCGTATTTTTATTCATTCTCAAGCCCCTCTGGCAACTGTATTTTAAGTATTAACTTGTTTACTTTGGTGCTTTCTACATGGTTCTTTTTGCTCATATCAGATTTTGTATTTTACTTATCATGCATCTTCGCATTGGTCACGCTCCTGGTAGCTTGTGAGGTCGTATGGGTTCTGAGCCTTCAGCTCGGTCACCTCACCCCCTCTTTTGAGGAACGAACGGGGCCCCTCATTTTCCTTGGCCCCGAAGCCTGAAGCCTCTCGCCTCACGGGTGACCCCTTTTGGGTTCCTCTCTCACATAACCTTCCACCCTTCCACTTCTTTCTGTTCTTCGCAGAGGTTAAAACGCTGATCCTGGTGGTGTTCTGCGTGTCAGCCATGGCCTCTAAATACGGTCTTGTTTGCCTTTCTCCCGGTATTTTGCCCTCAATTTTTTCCTGTTGTTATCAAACATCCAAGTGTTTCTTTTGTTATTACATGACCGAAAAAACTCATCTGTCTTTGGTTCAGTCTGTCCAATAATGATCTTTGCACTCCAGCTCTTTTCAACACATTCTCTTTTATCACCCTTTTAACATAATGAGGAACAAGAAGGAGCTTTGTGATGATCGCTGTGACTCTCAAGTTAGCAAGGCGTGTCCACCCGGGGGGGGGGGGGGGGGGGGTATGAGTTTAATACCCATACTTCTGTTTTGAATAGTCTCTAAGGAAGTAACTTGGGAAGGGTTTAGTTTCAGCATTTATATGAGGTTACCCAGGTAATCTTAGCCACATACCTGGTGTTTTGTGACATATTTGGAGTGCATTGGTTTTGTCAGGGTTAATTTTCAGACCTAAATCTTTGCACTTCTTGATATGAGGTCGAGTATGGGTTGAGCATTTACTAGTCTGGCTCTTCTGACTGATATTAATTGCAGGTTATTAGCATATGTAAGTAAATGAGATTTAGATGGAAGACCAAGAGAGATTAGTTCGGGTACAAGGATACTGAACAGAAATGGGCTGAGGATTCCACCTTGAGAAGTTACATTTTCAAATGTATAAAATTCAGAGAAGTGTCCCTGGTACTTGACTCGAGCTTGTCTATTGTAGAAGTAATCATTAGACCAAGATAAGAGTTTGCCTAAGATATCTTTAGAGGGAAGGAAGCTGACAATTATTTGTTGATTGGCTAGCTCAAAAGCATTTTCTGAATCAAGAAATACAATGATACTGTCTTGACCGTCAGTTTGGCTATGGATTGCTGCGAAGTTGTCCATGATGCTTAGTCCGTTACAGTAAGCAAAGATACAAGCAAGATAATAGGGAGATGGAACGGTAAGTCTTGATACTATCTTTGGCTTTGGGTATTAGTTGAATAATTACCTTCCACGCAAGTGGAAGACGAATAGAAATTTACTGAAGAGGTTTCTTAACACGAATAAGGCTTCATTGCCTAAATGGTTTAGCATTGAGTATAATATTTGATCTTTGCCTTGTGAAGTGTCTTTTCTGACTTAAATGGCAAATAATATCTCTTGATTGGTGAGGGGAATGTCAGTAACATTTTCTGTATCGATTGCTCTTTGTATCATTTCAGATTTGTAAGTCAAAGTAAGACGCTGAAGAGTGTTGCTTTTTTATTTGAAGGAACTAATTAATTCAGCGGCAACCTCTTACGTCGGTGACAAGGCTGTCTTTTGTATTTTCCTGAGGCAATAGTCAGCTTCTTCCATACGTCTGTCAATGATGAGAGTGCATGATGAGATTCACACCATTGTAGACAGGAATTTGTTTTAATCTCCTGTAACTCCCACCTAGTTAGTTTACTGGCTGTCCTGAAAATGTCAAGGATGTCAGGGGATGGGTGCCTCTTAAGTGCTTTCCTTAGTGAAGTAGACGGTGTTTAAGTTCCTTGATCCTGTCGTTATAAATAAGTGGTCTTTGTGTCTGCATGTATCATGAAGTGCTCTTACAAAATTTTCTTGAAAAGTGTCAGGGTCATCAGGAGAATACAACTCTGCCCAGCCTTCCGTATGTTCAGTGAATTGGCTTTCTTGAAATTACATTTGGTAGGAGGAACTGATGATGTTATGTGTGGGGTGTTAATTGTCATGACTGTCATGGATAGTCATAGACAGACCATTTAATTAAGGGAATGGGGTCAGGAAAGAAAAACGAGAGATCTAATACTCCTCCTCTCTCATAGGCTGGGTTGTGAGGGTTAATAAGCCTAACTTGTTGAAAGTCCTCCAACAATTATGAGTTGTCCGAATCTGCATGTTTTATTGGCTGTTTGAGAGGAAGTGTTATTCCAGTGTGGATGTCCATTTGAGGCAGTGCGAATGTTCTTAATGGATTTCTTTGTTTCAGGGTGTATAACCGAGGGAGTGGGAGAGGTCTTTTCTCCTTCATTACAGTTACCCTCTTAGCATGGAAATTCTTGGAACTAGGCATACACCCTTTTCGGTTTTGCCACCGATTTTTTTTTAAATTCACATGAAAAGGTCAGTTACAAGTTGTACATCGTATATTCACTTAATATAATACACATGAGAAACATTTATATACACATATATTATGACAAATCATAAGTAAAGAAAACAGATCACATAGGAATACATACGAAAATCATACATGAAACAAGAAAAAATGGTGCAGAATAGCAACAATAATTATCTAGGAGGAAAAAGAGTGTGTGCCTTGAAGGCATCTTCGGAATCCAGCATTGTTCTTGCATAAAGAGCAACTAACTGATCCTTTTATTCTTCAGAAGTCTGGTAGATCTTGGAAATTACGTGATCTTATTCTATGCAGTACGGGGCAGTCTAGGATATAATGGAGGAGAGGTTCTTCAACAATATCATCACAGTGTAGACATGCTTTTGGGACACAAAATTCGATTTCCCAGTCGCACCTGTAAGGGAGTTTAAGTCTCTGAATAATGACAACTTTTAGTCTTGACACTGTAATCAGTGACGATATTATATTATACTACTTTGATGATGTACAACCAGCATGAACCTAGACTTGTTATTGTATTCTGATATTCCATGGTTAGTATCTCGAGTATGTGTTTTGATTCGGCTGAACTGGGCTGCATAATCCTGATGTGACCTTGACATAGGCTGTCTTTTATGGCTTTATCTGCTGTCTCATTGCCTTGTAACCCAACTTGGCATGGAATCCACATGAAGGTTACTAACTTTCTTTGGTCTGCTAGTTGCTCTATCTTGAAGAGGATGTAGCAGCACAACCCTGTGCCATGCCCACTGTGAGATTACTTGTTTAATTGTTTTTACACATAGATGGCAACACTTGTACTAAATCACTAATGAGCCAGTTACGAGTACTGCTTGTCTCACCCGTTTACCCTTTTCTTTAATTTACAAAAATATTTTATGTTATATTATTTTGCTATTATTGATGTTTATAACATTATAGTAATTATGATGTTTATAATTAAAGTAACACCATCATTATTCATAGCACTAGTAAAAAAAAGGTGAAATCAGGTAAGTTCACTAGGTCTACTAATTGACTCCTTTGTGGCTAAGCACTAGTAGAGCCATCTAAGTGCAGAGACATTTCACAAAAATTATAAAAAATGAGCATGGCATTCCCCATTTTTTATTCATTTTCCCGGCGGCAATGGGTTAATGATAATGATAATGATAATAATAATAATAATAATGATAATCATGATGACAGTAATAACAATGTTGATAATAATAATAAGAATAACAATAATAGTATAACGATAATTATAGTATTATTAACAATAATAATAATTAGTACTAGTAGTAGTAGTGTGATAATGATAATAATAACAGTAATAACAACTATAATGATAATGATAATAATGAAAACAACAATACTGACAATTATTATGATTTGTCAAGGTAATAATAGTATTATTTTGATAATAACGATAACAATAATAATAATAATGGTAATAATAGTAAGAATAAGTACATAATAATAATAATGATAAGTATAATTATATAATAATAATAAAAATAATAACAATGATAAGTAGAATTATATAATAATAATAAAAATAATAACAATGAAAATATGAATTATCATTACAAGAACAATAATGATGGTAATAACCATGACAACGATAATAGGGGTAGTAATAATGGTTGTAGTGGGAGGAGTAGTAACAGTAGTAGTATTAATAATAATGATAATAACAATAATAGTAATAATAATAGGAATAATAATAATAATAATAGTAATCATAATAATAATGATAATAATAATGATAATAATAATAATAATAATAATAACAATAATAAATAATAATAACAATACTAATAGCAATATCAACAATACTAATAACAACAACAATATTGATAATGACAACACCAGCAGAAATAATAGTAATGATAACATAATAATAATAATGGTAATGATAATAATAATAATAATAATGCTAATACCAATAATAATAATAAGAAGAAGAAGAAACAACAATAATAATAATGATAATGATAATAATAGTAGTAATAATAATGATAACAATGATGGTAATCATAATAACGATAATGACGATGGTAATGTTAATAACATGGATAATTTTAATTATAACAATAATTATAATAATAACGTTTATAATATAAATAATAATGCTAACAATAATATTGATAATAGTAATGGCAATTACGATAATGATATCGGTAGCATTGTAAGTAATTGTAATAAGAATAATAACAATAAGGAGAAGAAAAAGAAGATGAAGATGAAGATGAGGCAGCCTAAAGCTCAGTACCCTCTGGGAAAGGATCTTAGAAGTGGTGTTTGTAGAAAAGAGAGAAGGATTACCATCACTGAGGTCACGTGAAAGAGCCACACTGAGAGCAGAAGTTGGGATTGTCGATGAAGCCTCCAAGAGGATTGAAGCACGTAACACCACATAATTGTTGTTGTTGTTTTACTGTGCGCAGCTGTATATGTCACCATAGAAAGAATGGGAAAACTGAAAAAAACCGGAAAGACGTGTCTGAAACAAATGAAAAAGGGAACGGTTGAGGAGAAAATGCCCCCTTAAGGTGAATGGCACTTTGTCTTATTGTGCTGAAGCAGATCAAAGCAGATGGAATTAAGATTAAGAGACATGGTGAGAGATGCTAACGGTCCAGGCAGTACGAACTGTTTTGTATTAATCTGAAGCTGTTCTGTAAAACTGTGGATGGGAAGAAAAGAGAGGAGAATGAGCTACCGGACCCCACCGAAGATCCAGAAAAAAGTCAGTCCTAGTAAGCCGGCACCTTGGCCAGAGAATCCTGAGCAGGAAGTCAGTACAGCAAAGGTGAAAGAAGATACCAGTGTCACCATAGAGTACATACGGACTGGAGTGCATATGATGCCAAACTGGAAGGCAGCTGGCCCTTGTCCAGGGCTACTGTTTTAAGAAGCAAGCAGGGTTACACTCTAGATCATAATTATACCTGCAAGACTGTGTGAGTCAAGGGAATGTGCCAGAATGGATGGTCAGACAAAGAAAAGTTCCTATCAATTGCCCATCCATCATGTGGAAGCTCCTGGTAAGAGTCATGGGAGAGAAGCTGTTTCAGTACCTGAAAAGGAGCGGACTGTTAGCAGATGAGCAGAAGGGCTGCAGAGAAGGATCACATGAAACGAAATATTTGTTGCTTGTAGACAAGGCAGTCCCAAAGAAATTCCCGACAAATCTAACAAACTTGTCAGTGGCTTAGATAGACTACAAGAAAGTATATGACATGGTGCAACATTCGTGGATTATGGAATGCCTGGAGATGGAGCAGCCAAGAACACGAATGCCATAATCAGCAACAGCAAGGCGAATTGGAAGTTAGCATTGACATCTGAAGGAAAAGATCTCGGGCAAGTGGAAATTTGAAAGGGAATTTTATTCTATACCACCATTGCTGTTTAATAAGATCACACTACCACTGACCCCAATAATACGAAAGATGAGAGTTGAATACAGGTTTGTAAGGACGTGAATCCCTTTAAGTAGCTACAGTTCATGAATGATATGAAATTATATGGATTCAGCAAAGACCAACTAGACCCACTCGTTCAGGTAGCTAGGATATTCTTTCAAGACATCAGAATGTCGTTTGGGCTAGACAAGTGTGCTGTTCTAGAAGTTAGTAGAAGACAATCTGACAGTAGTGGACGACTAGTACATCGGAAAAGGAAGGCTACATATACCTTATAACCTGCAATGGAACCAGACTCTTAACTCTCAGATGAAATCAGACTCGTAGATGAAAGGCAAGAAAACACT